AGCTACACTGTTTTGAAGATCTCCCCGATGGCTTGCGGGTTGTTTTTTTTCGCTTCTTCAGAACCTCTTTGAACTCTGAAGGCCTTACCTCTTCTACAGATTTCAGCTAAGGTCTGCACGCATTTGCAACATGGCTGTCATGCTATGTTATTTAACAACCATTGTTGCTATTTTTGCATGTCAGATTTCATAAACCAAGACTAAGCCCCTATTCGGTATTAAGTTCCAAATGGATTGGGAAAAAATTTAAAAAAAAATTATTTTATATACTAATATTAAAAATAATTTTTAAAAATATATAAAATATATTATTTTAAAATATTTTTAAATAAAAAATACTTTAAAAAATAATTACTATCATACTCTCAAATATCCCTTAAAAAATGATTCACTATATGACCTGGGTATTTATTGGAGAGTGTAGTAAAAATTAAATTTCAAATTACCTTTTACTTACTTATATATGTATCAAATTACTATATATATTATTTTTTTTTCAAAAATATTAAAAATAAAATTAATTTTAAGAAATGTTTTCACAATGTCATAAATACCTATGCAAATAGCTGAGAAGCACGGGCACACATCTAGCAACAAATATACTAAAAAGTATGGGAGATTCACTGTAGCTCCTTTTATATTTTCTTGTTCATCGTTGTAGTATGATGATCATTTTATCATTCCCATTAAAAAAAAAAGCCTTTGGATTATAGGTATTTTGGTATTTTCATGGGGTTTATAAGTTGTTACTAATTCGTTTGGGGTAGTTTTATTTATTCAATATTTTTATAAATAGTAAAATAATTAAAATATCTCAAGAAGTAAAAAAAAAAAAAATGGATAAGAGTGTTTAAGTATTTTTATACACGAATAAAATTATAAAGGTATCTTTTGATGTAAGATTTTTAATTTATTGTTTTCAAGGGTATTCTAGTTTTTTTATTATTAAAATAATATTTTTTTATTAAAAAAGATATTGTCATGTGCATTGGTTTTTTATTGTAAAAAATAGTTATTATTTGTCTGAGACTATTCTTCTCCATCTTTTCTTCCAGTGTAGTTGGCACTTGTGGTCTAAATTTAATGATATATATCACCAATAATCTTTTCTTCTTCTTCTTTCATTTTCATTTTTCATTTCCACTATGGTTTTCATTGTTTTAAGTTCAAATTTTTGAGTTTTGATTTATGTTCTTCTAGTTATTTTCTTTTTATTGAAGTTTTGTTTTTTTAAAAAATTTAATTATTGATTTTTAATTTGTATATATAAAATATTTTAATTCAGTCATTTTACTTTTAATTTCTTAATAATTTGTCTATAGCTTACAATTTTATCTTTTAAATCATGTTTAAGATTTTCTTTTCAATGCTAATAGTGATTTTAATTTTGTTCATTTTCTTTTGATTTTTTTATCAAAGTTTTTATAGTTTTTAATTACATGCCTCAAATCAAGTTCATAATTTTTATTTTTTTAATAATAATGATAATGATAGTAATAATATTATTAATAATAATTATAAAAATAATAGTAGTAGTAATGATAATTATAGTAATAATAAAAAAATAAAAAAATAATAATGATAATAAAAATACTAATAATAATTATTGTGATAATAATAATAATGACAATGATAATAGTTGCAGCTTCGGTAGCGGCAGCAGCAATAACAACAACACTATTATTATTATTGTTATTATTATGTTGTTGTTGTTGTTGGCTGTTAAAATAATATTAATATAATAGTTATTAATTATTTTAATTTTTATATTTTTGAATTGTTTATTTTTTTGAATTGCTTTTTTAATGTTGACAATATGAAAGGGTGTGTGTGTATATATATATATATATTCCCTCCTAAAAAGTCATTTTTATATTGTCATTTTATTAATGTTAAAACTAATTAAATTCTTAATTAAAACTTGAACTAATTTTTCAAAATAAATGACAGTCAAGAGAATAACTACTTTGATCGGTACTAAGCTCTCTTTGAAGAAACACATCAACTTGACTTTTTATATTATCAAACTATGGAATTATCTGATAGATATCTCATATTTATTTTATTAATTGATTGCAGCTCTAAAACTCTTAATACAACATTTGAATTTTGATTTCGATAATTTTATCAATTATCAAATATCATTATACTTTATAATATTTTAATTTGATATGTTAATGTTCAAAATAAAATTAAAATAAAAAATATTTTAAAAAATACTTTAAAATACAATACCGAGAACTTTAAAAATAATTGTGAACATCTTATGTATAGCCTTGTTCTCCAATTTTTTTTTTTATTATATGTACAGAGAGATATATCATGGGATTGCTCTCTGTGCGTTGATGGTTCTCCAATTTATAAAAAAATTCCGAGGGATTAATCTTTTATTAGGATATATAGGCTTTCTTTTAAAAAAAATTGTTTGTCTCGACCATTCAACCACTGATCCGCTATATCTTGAATTTTGTTTTCTGTTTTTAATTTTTTTAATATTAAAAATATTTTTTAATAAAAAAAAAATATTTTTTAATAATTTTTTTAAAATACTTTTTAAAAATCAACATTCAACAATCCGATTATTAAGCCACTAATTTTCAATCACAGTTTCACTGTGCGTTGCTCTATCGATAGTAAATGACGTGTACTTTCAAAATAAATAATCATAAATGGTTGGAGGTATCCGATTTAAAAAGAAAGGCAAGTCCAAGAAGATAGTTTTTATTCAAACCAGTTATTGAAATCGGCCTGGTTTTGAATGGAATCACGTGTATGAAAAGTAGGGGCAATCACAAAAATTAAAAAAAACTGATTAAATTAAAATAATTTAAAAAATAAAATTATAAAAAAATCAATTAAAATTTTTAAAAAACCAACATATTTGATTTAGTTTTATTAGTCTAAAACTGAAAAAAATAACCAAAAAAATCTTAAAAAAACTAACACAAACTAAAAAAAACCAAACCAAAAAAAAAAAAATCAAACCAAATTAGTTTGAATAAATTTTTTTAAATAACATGACCGAACTAAAATTGGTATGTTTAAATTAGTTTGATTTAAAAAAAAATAATCTAATTATCTTTTTTAATAAATAGTTAATTTATGTTTAGATTAGTGAATATAAACTAATTTTATTTCAAGATTTTTTTAGTTAAGCTAATCTTTACTGACAATGTGTGATTTAATAAATTCTATTAATTTTAATTTAAAATTAAATTTAAACCAAATTTTAAATTAATAAGTTGAGTTATTAAATTAAGTGATCCTAATTTTGAACTTACAACATTTAATAGCTAGTAGAGTATATAAGACCGGTTAAATTAATTTTTATTTAAAAATATATTATAATATTAATGTTTATTTTTAAAATATTATTTTTAACATAACTATTTTAAAATAATCTAAAAAAGTAAAAAAATTAATAATTTAAAATGAAATTTTCGAACACTACCTGAGTAAAACTGATCCAGGGTCCAAGTTCCATGAAATAAAGCATCAATAGAAACGGTCCAAATGGATTATTTTTTCAATTCAACAGCACGTCTGTCTGGACTCTGGATAGCCTGACAAGGTGACAGCGACCTCCCGTACGTTGATTATTAAGGAGGAAAAAAATAAAATAAAAAAAAGGATAAAATTGCTGACCTCCCGTACGTTGAGTATTAAGGAGGACAAAAATAAAATAAAATAAAATAAAAAAAAGGATAAAATTGCACTCCGAAGGTACAAAGCAGCAGTTGTTCTTTCATCGCCACATGGAGTAGAAAAGAACAGCGGGTAGGGGTCGTAGGGCAAACAATTGACCAATAATATGTTTCATTTAATTATTAGAAACGGCTATAATATATATATATATATGTCAAGTTAAAAGCTTGAGATCTTTAAATAAATTAAAATAATTAAATATAGATACACTATTTCAAAGAAAAATTCAGTAATGGGATTTGAATATGAAACTTCTTATTGAGTGATTTTTGACCATCTTATAACAAATATTCAAAAATCTATGTTATATCTCACCGAATAAATCCATCAAGCTAATATAATAATTTTTAAAGGTTAATAATAAAAATAAAAAAATAAAAAATTATTTTAATATATTAAAAGTTATTTTTTTAAATATTATATATGATAGTATTAAATATAAAATCTAAGCGAACACATAAATAAAATATACTTTCAGCGAAGAAAAATAATAAGGTAATTGCTTTTATATATTTTTTTTTCTGTTAATCTATAAAAAATTAGTTTCTCAAGTTTTTATTATTTAAATTCAAGATTTAATTTGAGTGAAGAAAAATAATAAGGTAATTGCTCTCGCACTATTTTTTTGCTGTGAATATATAAAAATCTAATTTCTCAAGTTTTTATTATTTAAATTCAAGATTTAATTTGAGTAAAGAAAAATAATAAAATAATTGCTCTCGCACTATTTTTTTTGCCATGAATCTATAAAAACCTAGTTTCTTTATTTTTTATTATTTAAATTCAAGATTTAATTTGAGTGAAGAAAAATAATAAAGGAATTGCTATTACACTATTTTTTATTGTAAATTTATAAAAACCTAATTTCTCAGAGTTTTTATTATTTAAATCCAAGATTTAATTTGAGTTGAATGGGGTTAAAAGTTGAGGTAATCAAAATTAAAAATTTAGCTACACTTAGATAAGTCTGAACACATTAATTCTGAATTTTGATCTAAAATGATGTTAATTATTTTTAATTTTAATTTTTTTTTCTAAATTTGAAAACTGTACTTTATTTACTTAGATAATAACTGTAACTTACGTGTCGCAGGTAGCATTGTAATTTTTAAAGCTGTGCTTTTTTTTACTTCTAACTTTTTTGTTTTACTGTAATAAAAACTATAAAAAAAAAACTCAATGATAAATATGGTTTTAATTTCAAGTTTTAACCAGTCAACACCAGCTGGACCCACCTACCTGATTACCTTGATGTCCTTTGCGTTTTGAAACAGAAAGATCCAAGTTACGTACAGCTTCGAGCATTCGATATAGTCAAATATTGAGACCGTCCATCTTCTTCAATAATAGAGTACCAAACCCAGCTTCCCTTTTCTTGAAGACGATAGGACGCTAACGTTTTCATTTTCAAGGGAAATTGGCTTCCCAAAAAGGATACGAAAAATGGAGTACTGGGCACAGAAGCCAGTGGAAGTGAGGGCAATAGAGGCTTTAGGAAAAGGGTTCGATCTGAGTAGTGATTTCAGATTGAAATATGCTAAGGGAATGAGTAGTAATAATGAAAGATTGGTGCTTTTGGATGAAACTAACAAAAGGGATGTTGTGTTTCCTGGTGGCCTTACTATCTCTAACGTTTCTGAGGATATTAGATGTGATAAAGGTGACAGGACTCGATACAAATCTGATGTTCTTGAGTTCAATCAGGTCAGATTTTGTATTTTTTTCTTTTTTTTTTTCTCAGTTGGTAAATTATTGTATGGTGAATTATATAAATTCTCTTCTCTTTTTTGGGCTAACCAGCCTGCTGTCGTTTTTGTTGCATGAGTGGCAGTGGCTGATCTGTTTTTCTATGTGATAATTGTTTGAACTGTGTTTGCTATGTGTTTTAGGCATTTAGTATGAAGAATGCTCTTTTCTATTCTGGGTTTGTTTTGTTGAGGGGGATATGGAGTCTTGGACTAAAGCTGTAATCTTTTGCTATTATTGGAATTCAATTTATTAAGTTCGATGAGCAATCGAGGGTTATTTTGGAGGTCCAACTTCTTTATCACTTGATGCTAGACTGGATTTAACTTCTGCTAGAGGTCCTTTTCTTCCCCACTAAAGCGACAGGGTGATATTGTTTGGAGGGCCTAGTGGCTTTAGTAATTTCAAAAGCAGTCAAATTTTGGTGGGGTTGGTAGTGGCATGCGATGTGCGAGCACAATAAGATTCAATGTATGAATAACTGAAGTGGAGTGGGCAACAGAGATTGAAGAAAGTGAAAACTACTTAGTTAATCTACTGAAGTGAAAGGATAAGTAGGTTTGGAATCTGGAACCTCTGATATTTTGATGGAATATAGATTATGGGTGATGATGAATTTTCTCCACGGGTTTGTTAAAGCACTTCACATTACAATGAAAAGATGTACTGGGAAACTAGCTAGTGTGGAGTGCCATTATGAACTCATGGAGTGGCATCATCCCCACCCATACTCTATGGACAGATGATCTCTTGGAATGATTTGGTATTTTAAAATGAAGAATCTATGAACTAGGTTTGGAGTCTTAATGCTCGTAGAAATAATTAAAATGGGAGATTTAGAGATGCTAGTAGGTATAAGCATAATTTCTTGTCATAAAGGTTCGGTTTGGATAGAGTTTCCTTGAGATGATTAGATGATAGGCCTTATTCGATGCTAGCTCTTTGGGTTTTCCTTTGACTGATGGACAATTTGCAACTGAATTTGTCGATGTCAGAAAAGTAGTAGTTAAGAAAATGATGTCCTGGAAAAGCTTATGTTATGAGTTTGTAGTTAAATGAAATTTGAGAGCTTCAGCAAAGCTGTCTGACACAATGAGGTGTCGGTGAGCCTAGCTCAGCAACTTTTCAAATGGAAAAGTTCTTTAAAAAAGGAAAATCCAGATTTCACAGAGCAGAGCATTATAAAGGATTAAGCCTAATATCAGATTATAGTGCTCCATAGAAGAATTATTCTGGAATAGTGTTGATAAAAGCTACATGAATCATGCAAACGTGGTCAATTGAGGGTAATATAACAAAGTGATTAGAAGTGTGGCTAGTAAAACTTCTTCTTTATTTATTTGTTTATTTTTAATTCTGATAAGCACCTTCATTTTGTAAGATCTATGGATAAGCAGTGCCCTTATGCCTACATGTCTGCAACGACTTGTCCTGTGAACCATATTTCTCACTAAATCGCGTCTCTGGAACTATGTAATCTTACATATGACTTTAGTGACAGGCAAGGCTATTGATTTGATCATGCTTGATTCTGGTCCTCACTTATGCAATTGATTTTGGATTCTGCATGCAATTTAAAAAGTATATTTTCATACGAAATGTCATTGAAATGTTTTTGTTGTTCTGTTTACATCTGTATCCAAGTCTAAATGAAGTAATTCATAATAAGCATCATGTCCTGGATCAGTATTCAAGTTTTCTTTCTTTTTGTCTTCATCTTCCCTTGCAGATGTCAGAGCTACTTAATCATAAATCTTCAATCCAAGGAAAAGTTCCTTCTGGCTATCATAATGCTATTTTTGATTTAAGTGGAGACTGGCTTCATGATACTACAGACTCCAAGTTTCTTGCTTTTGATGGCTACTTCATCTCATTGTACTATTTGCACCTGACAGCATCTCGATTAACACTGAAAGATGAAGTAAAGAAGTCTGTGCCTCCTCGTTGGGATCCTGCATTGTTGTCCAGGTATCTTTTCGGTATTTATGAAAATAAATCATTTTTTGACATTAACCAAGGTCGTTCAGAATACATACTTGACAACATTTTGGATTCCTTGTGTTTTAGAAGAACAAGAAAAATATACAATTAAGGGAGAATAAAGAAGATTGAAAGTAGGGGATTAAGAAGAGAGGAAAAAACAATACTAAACCCATGGTGCATAGCCTGCAACAGAACTTAAAGATCAGAACACTAATTAGAAATAGAATGTTATAGCCCTTAGCGAGACTCCAATTTTAAAAATCATCAACATTAAACCTAGGCCTAGAAAACATCAAATCATACATTAATCTAGAAATTACAGGGGTGAAAATCACCTTGTGTCCTCTCACTATTAGTTACTGCTCGTTCTAACCACTCAACTAAACTTTTAAAGCAACCGCGGGCACTTATATTTAGAACTAAAGATTTATGCTTCATGCTAGGGTCCTTAACTTTGGCCTTAGATTCTCATAAAGCGCAATGCTTCCCTAACCATGACGTTGTCACTGCATCACCACCACTATTCAGTTATTGCCTGTTTGGTAGTCCGATAGAGGCTGCTTTTGGCCTCAACTTCACTATTGGAAGTGTTTGGTAAACATGACAGATTTTCCCACCATGTTTTCTAATGTGAGTAACACCGTCAGCTAGAGAAGTCTCACATAGCAGTCAAACATGATCATTACAAATATTATACAATACCAAATTTCTTAGCTGTAAAAACTCTTTATATAGAAATCCCTATACAATCAGCCAAATGTTGAATGCATAAGACAGATAAATATAAACATATGATTTTTTCATCCATTTTGACTTGAGTAATGATTGTCTACTTTTATCATCCTAACAGTTTTTTTTACCAAAGACATTAAATTTTTTTCACAGCTGCAACCACATCAAAAGCAAGAGCTTAAAGACACCAAAATAGGACTTAATCATCCATGGACAATGTAATGCATGATATTTCTAATTTAATTTTACCTCTTCTACTCTTGGAATCTTGTGTTCTTCAAATTTCCAGCTTTGTCTTCAACTGATGCTTTTATAGTTATATCTGATCGTTGGCATCATTCTAGACTCTAGAATGGCCATTCCTTAGCATGTAATTGTGTTAAATCTCTAGTTTTATTGGATAAATCGAGGATAAGATTTTTCCCTAGCCAAATTTGGATGGGTACTTTAGGATCCAAAGCCTTTCAGTTAAACATTTTGGGCTGATTTTTTATTTAGCATTGTTAAGATAAAATGAACAAAGCTGATAGCTAAAAAATTGTTCAATGAAAGCAATATATTAAGAGGAAGAATATACAAATGATATTTGGAGAATAAGACATCCTTCAAGAAGTGAAAGAAAATGAAAAGGAACATAAGAAAAATAAAAAGCACTCCAATCCCACTGAGTTTCATAGTTTGTAATTTTTTAATACCCTACCCTTCTCATCTCTCCACCAACTTTGAAGTTTGAACCCTTGACCGATGGTTTATGGTCAAACACAAACCAACAAGCCACAAGAAATGCTGATTAATCCACTACACCACAAAGAAGCAAGGATACAATCCTTGAATATCTTGTCATTTTTCTTCATGAAAAAAAATAATTGCATAAATAGCATATGTTTCCTAGGCTGGCAATCCTTCCAAACCCAAATAAAGATCATTAATTCTCCATCCTACTGGTAATCATCCATGATTCGGTATTGAAAACAAACAATTGTTTGCCGCAAATTCTAGGCTACTAAGCAAATATGACTTTGTGTCCCTCTCTTGTGAGTGTGTGCAATAGTGAAAACTAATGCTCTTTCATGCAAGTAATTAAAGAAGAAGAAATTCAGAAAGTATTTTATGATGTCTATCATATCGTTCCTTCATATACTCACCATGTCTCATTGTTTTAGTCCTCTTTGACTTTTCACACAAATTAAGATATAGCAATTAATTGCTTTTATTTTTCCTTATGATGTATACCACAATATTTTTTTATATCACGCACGCTAATTTTTTTTTAATAACTCACAATATACATATACAAAGATCATAATGAAGCCTTAAAATTTTAATTAAAAAATTGAGACATTTACTCTCTAAGTCACCACAATTATGTTTCAAGAATACAAAAATTGAAGATTTGTTTTTAAATTTAAGTTAATGAGGGAGAAAGTAGTTGAATTTAAAGAACTAAAGTGAATTTTAATTGGGATGTAACAGGAAAATCAAACAGTTATGAACTTTTTTATCACAGAACAATTTTTGGACATCACAAAATGGAAAGGTGGACAAAATCTTTGGGGCAGAGGGAGTATCCTTTTCTTGTTAGGCTTATTGAAATACCTTATTCCTTGGTTCTTGTTTTTTAGCCATGATATGGCCTGTGAAAATATTTTTTGTTGATCTGATGCAATTTAGACTCCTACTTGATTTGTGTTATTCTGGCACATGGATGCTTATTAATTTTATTAGGCAGGTTCATCCATACATACGGCACACACATAGTAATAGGGATGGCTGTTGGGGGTCAAGACTTAATTTGTGTAAAACAAAAACCTTCCTCACCAATTCCCCCTGCTGAGGTGAGAAAGCACTTGGAAGATCTTGGAGACTATCTGTTTTCAGACAGAAGAAGTCCGTCCCTTCTACAGAGGAGTGCAAGAGATGGAAAACAAGTATCTGTTGTTCTTCTACACACTGGAATTTAATTTCTCGATGTTTTATATATAAATTTCTGAATGTCATGGTTTGATATAGGTTCCCGAGGTCTTCAATCGTATTTTGCAGTCAAACACCATGCAGCTGACTAGCATTACAGAAACCTCAAGCAAGGATGTAAGTCGAACAAGATGTACTATGAATCTACTCAGTAACAAACATAATTTCTTTTCCTCAAATCTCGTTTTTAAGTTGGACAGGGAATCACCATCATTTGTTCAAAAAGAGGAGGAGATGTGTTCTCAAACAGTCACTCCAATTGGCTCCAGACAGTACCAGCTAATCCTGAAGCAATTCTATTCAAATTTGTACCAATAACATCTCTTCTTACTGGGATTCCCGGAAGTGGTTATCTTAGTCATGCAATCAACTTGTATCTACGTTGTAAGTGCTCCTGAGACCAAACAGGGGGAAAGAGCAATTATAATACATGTGGGGTTTACTAGCCTATGTATGAGAGCTTTGGCAGTCACACATATATCATTAAAAATGAAACTACTATGAATTCCATTGATGGTTATGCAAAAGTACAAGGCTAGCATTGCAGAGACTATAACAAGATTGTGATACCTTAATTGGATTTTCATAATAAAGAGGATGCCTTAACTAGCTAGTGTCAACTGCATTGTGATCATGAATTCCCGCTTCTTTTTGGTTTTCAATGTGCTGTGAAGGCATCCGACATTCAGCAAATGCCTTGTGGGTGAAATGGTGAAACTACATAAAACCTCAAATACCCAAATCTCAATCCTTAAGAGGAATTGCTGGTTACATAGGTCATGATCTTTTGAGTTGTTTTCATGGTAATTGGAGCAGGGTTAGAATTTTGAAGCTGAAGCTCTCTCTATGTGGTCCCTTGTTTAGTTTTATTATTTTCCAAGGTAATGGTGCAGACCAGACCATGCGTGTTTCTTTTCTTTTCTTTAAGGTCCAATAAGATTGAGCTGCATAGCAGGTGATCACCCTCCCCTTTCCATAAGCCTCCATCTTGGTTTGAGCAGGTCTTGAACCAAGGTCACTTTGTGCAACACGTGACACGAGTGACTTACATGTTAAACTAGCTAGAATCCTTTAATGTGTTTTGTATGTACAGCTATTGTGTTGTATCTCTTTCACCCCTTATATTTTTCCTTCTTCTTTTTTTATTCTGTATCATACAATCCTAGCTCTACGGGTTTTAACTTCTTGATTTAGTTGCCATTTCCTTGCACATATTGGATCACACGTGTTCATAAAATGAAAATGATCTCTTATGGATTTGTAATCTGTGTGTTCAGACAAGCCTGCTCCAGATGATTTACAATGCTTCTTGGAATTTCAAGTTCCAAAGCAATGGGCACCTATGTTTTGCGAGCTGCCTTTAAGGCATCAAAGGAAGAGAACTTCTTACCCTTCCTTGCAGTTCAGCTTTTTGGGACATAAGATCTATGTCAGCCCTAGCCAGGTACTATAAAAGTGGAAAAAAGGATTATTCTCTATATAGTAGTCGCTTGTGTTACCTCTGATTTTACTTCACTATATATATTTAGCTTGATATCTTCGTATTGTGTCAAGTAAAAATTAATGTTCACTAATGCGTAGGTTTCTTTGTGACCTTAATATGGTGTTTGGCCCCTCCATCTAGCAACTTAAGTTGTTGGACTGGATGCTAGTATACCATTGCATTTTGTTTTCTTGTTGTGGTCGTCGTCTTGCATGCAAGATCTATTGTTGTGGTGTGCAGGTCAGATGTGGTATTGAGTGATCCTATGTAAGTTGTGAGAAATATGGTCTGTTCTTGTATAGTATTTTGATCTCTCGTCCAAGTTTTGGGGTTTTTATATTTTTTAATGCTAATAAAGGAAGTGATCAAAAGGCATAATTACTTTTTTTGAATAAAGTTTTCATTAATGTTTAGTGTGGAAAGTCTTGCTTTTAAGCAAAAGAATTGCATGCTCATTTTGCAAATGTTAGGGCTTGAGTTGCTCCAGCAGTGCTGCTTATTAATATCTAATGAGGATTCATATCATATGGATATTTCAAATCTAATCCAAATATTTTCCATAATTATTGCAGATGAATTTTGTTTGTATCAGTTTGGCATCTAAATTGGAGAAATCAATCATCACATTTCAGATTTCAAATTTAGCAAAATAAATGGAAATTTCAATTACCATCCTAAATTTCTCAATTTTACACATCATTTCAGGTTTCAAGTGATAAAAAACCTGTGGTTGGCCTACGTTTGTACTTGGAAGGGAAGAAATGCAATCGATTAGCACTTCATCTACAACATCTCTCAAGCCTTCCAAATATCATGACCTTCCCATCAGCCAACCCCATAACATGCATGCCATGTCAGTGGCGAGGCTCTGATGATTATAGATCTAACGACCAGTTTTTGGAACCAATTAGATGGAGGAGATACTCAAAGGTGTGCACGTCTGTTGTTAAGCACGATCCCAGCTGGTTGCAGGGAGATACAAGTGGCGTGTTTATTGTAACCGGTGTGCAGCTCCTTTGCAAAGGGCGGTGGCCAAAGACAGTACTTCACCTCCGTCTTCTTTTTACACATATACCCAACTGTACCATTCGGAAGACAGCATGGGCTGCAGCTCCAGAAGCATCTCAAAAATCAAGTTTTCTGACAAATCTCAGCACAACATTCACATTTACTCAGCGAGCAACCACTGCTCCTGACAAGCAAGGTCCTGCCGCAATTAACTCTGGTGTGTATCCAGATGGTCCTCCTGTTCCAATTCGCTCAAAAAAGCTGCTTAAATATGTGGATGTGGCTGAGGTTGTGAAGGGTCCGCATGATGCTCCAGGACACTGGCTGGTTACTGCTGCTAAGCTAGTCACAGATGGTGGTAAGATTGGTTTGCATGTGAAGTTTGCTTTGTTGGACTATGGATTTCACTGTGCATAGAGTGGATTTTGTTTTGATGATTGATTTAGTTATTTCCTGTCTAAACAATCCTTTCCTAGCAAATTGGTTTTATGTCCCGAAGAGTTTTGCCATGGTTTGTACAGAGAGACGGAATAAATTTACTAGCTAGACCTCGTGCTGTACATTTGGTTGTCTATGTTAATGGAGCTTTCTGTTTTTTTCGTGGTTTAAGAAGATTTCAACGAGGTTAATGAGTGTCTATAACGTAAATAAATAAATAAAAAAGATTAATTTTCTGTTTTTTTCGTGGTTTAAGAAGATTTCAACGAGGTTAATGAGTGTCTATAACGTAAATAAATAAATAAAAAAGATTAATGAATTGTTTCATAGAGGGAATGCATATGCATGTTGGTGTCACGTCTTACCTGTTAGGGTTTATAAATGAAAAGTGTGCATGAAGGAGAGTGGAAGCATGAGAATGGAGGGCATGCCCAAATGAATCATAGGCATTTAGGACTCGAGTAAGGCACCGTTTAGGAATTAGGAATACGGCAGTGCAATGTGTTTTCAAAAAATTCAATATTTATTTTTATTAAAATTTAATATGTTTTGTATGTTTTGACGTGTTGATGTTAAAAATAATTTAAAAAAAATATTATCATTTTATATTATTTAAAAAGTAACCATAATTATACTTAAAAAAACAGAGAAAAGTTAAACGTGAGAAAAGTTATTTATTTATGAGAAAAAATCGTACTTGAGGGCCTGAGGCACAAAATACGTTTTCTATGAGAAAAATAAGCCCTCGTAACGAGACTTGTGGTGAATTTCTACTCTTCGAAACAGTAATTGAGTACAGAAATTCACAGCTCTTTCTTTTTTTTTTAATTTTTTTTTTAATATTAAAATTTTTAATTATTAATTTTTATTAAATTTATTTTTTAAACTATTTAATTGATAATACATTTACTTTATTTTTTATTAGGTTATATTAGTTTCGTAACTTAATTATATTTTTGAAGGGTTAACTTGGATTATTTGTTTTTGAACTTTTTAAATTGATTAAATTATATCAAATTAATTTTTATATTTTTTTATATTATAAAATATGTTATGAATTTTTAAATATTTTTTTATATTAAAAAGATTAATCTTATTTACAAAGTAACATGGATCAATAAACCATGTTTTTTTTTTTTCAAGAAGGAAACTAATTAGCTGAAAAATGATTTTTCTTTTAATTTCATATCAAAATAACTCAATAAATAACTTTTGCAATCTTTAAATTCTAATTTTAAAATTTAACTTGAAATAGCACATCTCTAAAATTGAATTTTTTTTTCCAAGAAGGATAGTAATTAGCTGGAAAATGATTTTCCCTTTAATTTCATATCAAAATAACTCAAAAAATAACTTTTGCAATCTTTCAGTCATAATTTTAAAATTTAACCTGAAATATCTCTAAAATTGAAATCTAAATTTTTTTTCAAGAAGGAAAATAATTGGCTGGAAAATGATTTTCCCTTTAATTTTATATCAAAATAACTCAAAAAATAACTTTCATAATATTTTTATTATAATTTTAAAATTTAACTTGAAATAGTGTATCTTTGGAATTGAAATCTAAATTCTTTTTCAAGGAGGAAAATGATTTTCCTTTTAATTTAATATCAAAATAACTCAAAAAATAACTTTTGTAATCTCTAAGTTATAATTTTAAAATTTAACCCGAAATAAAGTTTGGTTCACGAATTGAAAAAATTAATTTGAATTAATTAAATTATAAGTTAACTTACATTTTTTATCAGGTTAGATGAAATTGTTTATATATATATATATATATATATATTGTCGCCAATCCAAAAAAAATTGAGTCGAGGAAGCTAATTAGGAGATCATCATAAACAATTAAAGCTAAGTTTTTAGTGCCCGAATGATTGTGAATATCCCCACAGTTATGAACACCGAAAACTTAAGTCTGTCTCTCAACCAACACAATCATTGCCGAGGCTCGGCAACAACTGCTAAATGGGGCTTCCAAGGCAATGTTTAGCTCTGAAATTGGATTGTTCAACAATTCGTAATCATTTTCTACGAGCTAACAAATTTAACATTGGTTTAATCATCCCTTGCAGAAGATGAATGGCCATGCCCTTTCTTGAATAATCCACATGCAGATAGAGTGGTCTGCGTAGCTGTGTTATTAAACCCTTGCTTTGAAATAATTTTTTAAAATTTTATTTTATTTTTGATATTAAAAGGTTAAAATAATTAATTTAATATATTTTTAAATAAAAAATAATTTAAAAAACAAAAATCATTCTAATAAAGAACACATACTTGTAACAAAACTTGATGAAAATTAACTCCATCCATCTTAAAAGAAAAATTATTTATTTATGGAGAAAAAATCGTACTTGATGGCCTGAGGCACGAAATACGTTTTCTATGAGAAAAATAAGCCCTCGTAACGAAACTTGTGGTAAATTACTACTCTTCGAAACAGTAATTGAGTACAGGAATTCACATTTTTTTTTAATTTTTTTTTAATATTAAAATTTTTAATTATTAATTTTTATTAAATTTATTTTTTTAAATATTTGATTGATAATAAATTTAATTTATTTTTTATTAGGTTATATTAGTCTCATGAATTAGTCATGTATTTGAAGAATTAACTTGGATCATTTATTTTTAAATTTTTTAAATTGATTAGGTTATATCAAATGAATCTTTACATGTCTTTTTATATTATAAAACATGTTAAAAAATTTTAAATAGGTTTTTATATTAAAAAATTAATCTGATTTATAACGTAGCATGGATCAATAATTCAATGCATCTCTAAAATTAAAATCTAAATTTTTTTTCAAGAAGGAAACTAATTAGCTAGATAATGATTTTCCCTTTAATTTCATATCAAAATAACTTAAAAAATAACTTTTGTAATCTTTCAATTATAATTTTAAAATTTAACCCGAAACAGTGCATTTCTAAAATTGAAATCTATTTTTTTTTAAAAAATAAACTAATTGGCTGGAAAATTATTTTCCCTTTATTTCATATCAAAATAACTCAAAAAATAACCTTTGTAATCTTCCAATTATAATTTTAAAATTTAACCCCAAACAAAGTTTGGTTGACAAGTTGAAAAGATTAATTTGAATTAATTAAATTATAAGTTAACTTATATTTTCAATCAGGTTAGATGAAATTGATTATATATATATATATATATATATATATATATATATATATATATATATAGTCGCCAATCCAAAAAAAATTGAGTCGAGGAAGCTAATTAGGAGATCATCATAAACAATTAAAGCTAAGTTTTTAGTGCCCGAATGATTGTGAATATCCCCACAGTTATGAACACCGAAAACTTAAGTCTGTCTCTCAACCACCACAATCATTGCCGAGGCTCGGCAACAACTGCTAAATGGGGCTTCCAAGGCAATGTTTAGCTCTGAAATTGGATTGTTCAACAATTCGTAATCATTTTCTACGAGCTAACAAATTTAACATTGGTTTAATCATCCCTTGCAGAAGATGAATGGCCATGCCCTTTCTTGAATAATCCACATGCAGATAGAGTGGTCTGCGTAGCTGTGTTATTAAACCCTTGCTTTGAAATAATTTTTTAAAATTTTATTTTATTTTTGATATTAAAAGGTTAAAATAATTAATTTAATATATTTTTAAATAAAAAATAATTTAAAAAACAAAAATCATTCTAATAAAGAACACATACTTGTAACAAAACTTGATGAAAATTAACTCCATCCATCTTAAATGACTTAGCAAATCAACTCTCGACCCAATTAATTAAATTAAAATCAAAACAACATTGTTTCAAACTATTTTTTAAATTGATTAACCTATTTAAATTGTAAACTGAATTTGTATTTAATGACTTTAATACGTAATAAATCTATATAGTCAAGAATAGGGGTTGGGAATTAAGAAATCAATAAGACAAGAAAGTCTCTTTCTATCACATGCACCCTTTATCTTCACAAACAATCCATTGAACACATAACATATATAATCATGCATGGTAGCCTCTTTAATTGACTCCTTTTCTCAATCTTATTTATTTGTTTTATCCATCCAACATGCTATCATCATATCTAATGTTATATATATAAAGCATTGGACCACCAAGAAATTGACCTAAGCTTTGGCAGCATGCCTTCCATCAACTTGGAAGCAAAAGAAACTCTCCCAGTAAGAGTTAGATCCATTAATCATGTCACATGCATCTGATGTGGTCCACCTTCTCCTCATCTTTAATTTAATTTCACCCCTCCAGGCCAAGGTTTATATATATATATATATATTCAAATCTTGGAGATCTATGCATTGAAGGGGAATATACTAGATACAATATTAGATTACATGCGTGATAGATGGTATTTTTAAAAAATATTTGTTTTTGTTGAAAATATATTAAAATAGTTTTTTAAAAATTTTTAAATCAGCCCATTAAAACCATAAAAAATACTAAAAAAAAATATTAATTTAATTTTTTTAAATCAGCACATTAAAACCATAAAAAATATTAAAAAAATATTAATTTAATAATTTTTTAATAAAATATATTTTTAAAATACATAAAAAAACAATGTCTTCAAGAATCTCAAGGCTATGCACTCAAATGAAGCAATAATCATTATATAAAGAAAGAAAGAGAGATCAACAAATGAAGAAACAAAAAGAAAATAAATTTTTATACTTTTCATTATAGTGGATTTGAGATTTTTAACTTTTTTATTTATCATAAAGAAAGATTTTCCATTAAATCTGTGTAAAATTTTCTTATAAAATAAAGAAAGAATTAATAAGAATTGAGTTGCAACTCATTGTCTGATGATTTTAATCAGATATTACAACAACTAACATACCAAAGCAACAAAATATCACTAACTAAAATATTGGGTTACATGCACGATCAATCAAGTACTAGTGGCAATTAAGCAATGGAGCCAATGATGTATAGTGATGGATGCGCAAAATCTTCTAAAGCTAGCTCGAAGGCCAGCGTTTCTGGATTTCAAAGCAGTAGCTGACATCCAAATAGCATTTCCCATCATCATCCACGATCTGAAGCCAAAAGAAGTAGAAGAAACCAACTTTGTCAATCAAAATCTTTAATTTTTGAAGCAATTTGTGTAAACAGTCAATTATATACTAATACTTGTTATAAATTACCTTGGTTCTAGCAG